GCGATCCAATACAAAGTGACATGTGTTTCTATTGGCAGCGATCCAATACAAAGTGACATGTGTTTCTATTGGCAGCGATCCAATACAAAGTGACACGTGTTTCTATTGGCAGCGATCCAATACAAGCGACCGGCGCGCTGGGTGCCCGGGCATGGAGGGTATCTCCCCCACCGTCCAGTGTGTGGCGGGGAGGGGGCACATGGCCCCGTCTACGTGGGCATGGCAGAGCACGACGGCCGCTACATCCTGGGCATGATCGTGCCCAGCGAGGGCGTCTGCTACGTGCCCCACGACGGCGAAGCAATTGCTAAGGAAACCTATTACGTAAGTTATTTTAGCTCGAAGTCAAGATTGTGGCAGCCTTGGTGATAAAGTCAAATAACTTTAAAAGCCTTTTTAATTACAAATTAAAGTCCTTTCATATGCTGGTCAGCTAAGAATGTTCTGAGGTATGACAGCGTTCGCCCGTTTAAATTGATAATTTTTAGCAGACCTACGCTACTTAACTAGCATACATTGGCACCCCCTAGGTGCTGGGAAACCCTGGGGCAGTGACCATGTGCTGGGTGGGAGCCAGCGGGGGCTATGTGCCCTCAGGAGCCCTTGAAGGAGGCCGAGGGGAAGACGGCGAAACCCTGTTCATCGGGAGGGTGATGGTGGATGGCGTGGTATCCTGCGGCAAGGTGAGTCATGCCAACAAGTACGGGGCGCAAAATTCAACAGGTTAAAAAACTGCAATCATAACACGTCCCTCTACAAAAGCGATGCTGACGAGACACATTGATTTACGAACGAGGTTCAAACATGTTTTCGTGCAAATGAATGTGAGCTATTGACATTACCATACAAATGTGATGTAGATACTTTGCTCCAATTTTAAGACGCGGTCCAGACACAACTAGTGTAACAAGTCAACATGAAGCGCTTAAGCTGCACTGTCATCGATGTTCTTGATGATGATTCGCAGTCCGATCAGAAACATTGTTCGTGCCTGACTACCTTATTTCTGTTGTGTCAGCGAATTCCGTCTAATGAAATCATGGGAAATATCGGGTGAAATTAAACAAAATTAAAAACTAAACATGAAAATAGCTGTTCAACGAACAATGCGGAATTTCTAGTTTCCGCAACAAGTGATAAAAACACCCATGTTAAACACATTTTAGCAATATGGCATTTTGAAAGATAACGGCAGGTAACAAAGCACCCAAAATCCAAAACTTCTGAACAACTCAGTTTATTTCAATTGTAAAAACTCATTATTTCTCTTTTGTACGAGGGGTAGTATTACTGAACAAACCATTCCAAATTCCGAAGCGTTGGTTGCGTTCCAATCTTTGAGTTAGTTCTGTGTTGGCTGGACTTTAAAATTATGTTTTATCGTGTATTATGATTCGACATAACTTTTGCGCGTTATTTGACTGTATTCAAATTTTTTAGTTGCCCCTCTTTTTATTCAAAGTTTTTAGTAGCCCCTCTTTTTAGCATTTTTATTTATTTTACGTTCACATTCAATGTACTTCTGATTGTTTTGGAATTTCTCTCAATTTAATGAAATATATTTTGACCGATACACAAATTTGCGCCATTTTCTAGCGTAACAATTTAGAATTAAAATTGTTTGAAATTAACGTTTCCTTCTTCAATGCGTGAGGTGGTGCCGAGTCGCGGGGTGTGTCTGGTGCCGTACGGCGGGGCTGAACACAGTCACCGCGACTACGAGGTCCTCTGCTCCAAGAACATCCCCGTCAAGCTCATCTAACCGGTCACCTTATGCGAGCCAAGGGCAAAGAGGCTATGAATTGTCTAAGAATATACCAATAATTGTCTTAGCCCGACACCAGTTGTTTCAATTTCCACACACCAAAGCAGTGAGGTCGTGAGTTAGTCGAAGCCAACTGCGTTTGTTGTATTCTTCCGCGATGGGCAGCAGCGATGAAGAGTGACGGAACTACGGAAGACCTACCAGTGGCTACGATTATTTTCTCGGTATTGGAATGGTGAGATAAGCTTCAAGAATCTCTGCGCTTCACATCCGGAGAACCGTGCTTCAAGTAGGAGACTAAATTGGTGAGGTCATCAGCGTAGAAGGCAATGTTGTCGTTTTGAATGATTGTGGGATTGTGACAAGTGAAAGGCAGGACGCCAGCACGCTTCTAAGTAAGCAACAAAACAAAATGTCCAGATTTTGTAGTGCCGGTCAGAGGCTACAATAACAATGAGGAAAATATTGTGGCCGATGATATCGAACACCTTTGCCATGTCGATCGCTGCTGCCACTGTACGGGTAGGAGGGCGTCTGGAGTGCGGTCTGTCTGGTACGGTAGCGGGAGGTGAGCGTTGACAGTAGATTACTCCGGTTTGAAGCGGTGTTGCGACGGGACAGTATCAAGGGAAGCCAACAGGAGCGGAAGTAGCAAAATCCGCTTCAAAATCTTGACTTTTTGACAAAAGAGAGAGATGGGGCGGTAAGACGAGCTTTGGTTTTCCGGGCTTGACGATGGGTATAATTATAGAGTTCTGTAACATGGTCGAAACTAAAGCAGTGAAGACAGAAATTTTGAAAGGTTAGTGGGTAAGAAAATGGAGACTGGCGATTCAGGTCCGGCCTCCGGGTATATGAATTGCTGGCGGCGCTTATAGCGAGATTTGTCAGATTGATTTCGAAAGGGAGGAAATCTCAGTCAAATGGATATTCGAACCGAATCCAATGTATAAGGTGGCGAGTAGTAGAGATTTTGGTATAGGGGACAAATGACTGAGGAACTCGAGCACTGCCTCTACCACGACTTTGACGGCAGACCAGTCGGCTTCTTCTAATTCAAAGGTAACAGAGGAGCTGGTGAAGTCGGCGGAGTAAATAAGGATGAGAAAGTGGTGATAGTTTAGTGTGACTTGAGAGGCCGTGTCAAGCAAGAGTGGCGCTAATAATGGGGGAGATGACGGTTCAGGCGAGGAGACTGGTCGGGGAATCCTCGTCGAGAATACCGAAGAAGGAGGCAATAATGATTCATTTGTCGCAGCTCTCAGGTCTCCTATATAGAATAAGCAGGAGGTATGGTGGGTGTTAAAATTGCCCATAATGAGGCAGTCATTTTGAAGATTCCAGACAAGTCCGAGGTAGAATCCCGGAAAGAAACAGAAGGCTGAAGGGGATGTACATTAGGGTGCCTAATGAAACTAACGGCAAAAACTAGAATACAACTTTCGAATGCTCTAACTCCTTTGAATTTATCGTTTTCACCTTACAATAAAGCAAAAAAATTAATGAGATATGTCAGTATTTACTGGTTGCACATAAGCATATTTTTTTTCCAACAACAGTCCTCTTACGTCCTGTCCAAACAGCAGCTCAATAACACGATCATCCAATTCGGGGTCAAAATCTTTCAATACAGACTATTTTGGACATTGCCAGCTTTATATGCACAAATAGAACCTGCAGGTACGTGCCCTGTCAACAGGTACAAAGGTTAATTAGGAATGCGCACTACATCAATATCACTCTTAAAGTAAGCACATTGCAATGACACGGAGACTTCATTGCACAGTGCAATGACACTTTCCTTCAAATACAGCACAAGTTGAGTAATGCTTTCGGTTGACTGTTTTACAGATATAAATTTCTTTTGATAATCGTTCACAGTTAGTCCAAAGCTACTTATAATCAGACATTTGATCTCTTCATCAGGAAGTTAAGATGGAATGTTGTCAAACAAACTACTAACTTTAGAAGTAACACATCATTCACCATCACGGAAATAGCTACAGCCGCATTCCAACCATTTGCGTCTCGAACTTTCTCAAAGTTACGTAGATCTACAGCAACATCGTCACCATATGATAGGTCGTTAATTTAATGTTAGCTCTAATACCGGATTGTCCAGCAGATTTACCAGTATCAATTGCAAGAATTCTTTCACGCTCTAGTTCCAATCTACCCAACTCAATCTCTTTTTCTACTTCTAATTTTCGCAAATTATATCACTTCTTCCCTCTGAAACGTTCATGCTCAAGTGCTCTTTCATTGCGCTCACAGCTTTGCACAACAAACGCGCGCAGGTCAACATCTTTGTAACCTAACGTGAAGTCACTTCTGACGTTTTGCCAAAAAATAACGCTGAAAAATATCAAGAAATACCACAAAACTAGAGTTGCAAATACTATTATCTCACACTTCCAAGCTTACAAAACTTGCAGTATACTGGCCACCAATGTAATTAAAGATAGTTGTCTCCTCGGGTTCGTTTGAAATATCAGAGCCAACTGCAGCTGGCTCTGATATTTCTTTGTGATGAGGCAACACATGGTCATATTAATGATCCAGGGGCCTATCACATAGCCTGCTAGAAGGAAAAAATATAAGAAATGAAAATTTGCCTATTTCAGTCCCAGTTCTATCTTTTGCAGTCTGAATTCAAAGAACATCTTCTACAGTTCAATTGAAAGAATATATTCAACAGATCATCTTCGTCAGTTCGGAGCGTTTAATGTGAAACGGAATGTCATAGCATGGTACACCAGCATGTCAGATGCAGTTGTTCCACGAACTAACCGGCAGTTGCTCTAACATCGTATTAGTGTAGTCAGAAATCCAGGCCGTGGCGCGTGCGTTTTAGGCCGTAGCGGGCAACAATATGGGCCGCACGGTAGATAGGCCGTTTCTCTCAAATCTCGTCGTGCTCGCGCCCGTCTGCATGTCGTGACGCTATGAACAAGCCACTTCGCTATTATTCGATAATTCGTATGGCACGTTAAGGCCGTATGCGAACTATAGGCCGCATGCCACTCACGACAATATTTCGCTTGCTACCATCTCATCCACGCGACAACACTTCTTGACACTTCGAGTCACCAACATAATGAATAGCCTCCCTGATTACGTAGTTTAATCTCCTAGCATGAACCCGTTCAAGAACTGACTAGAACTGAAATATATGTTCAGACTTGAAATGCCTAGCACCATATATCTAACTGGTGGAAGTCTAGTAGCTATTTCAAGCTATCGTCATTTTCGAAGATCCGGTCAAAGGACTTGTATCCAGATGTCCTGTGAACAAGTACGCAAAGTACAAGAATCGGCGACAGGTCACAGGCCTATTCTTCAGCGCCGTCATAACTATGATATGATGTGATATAAACGACGATGCTCGTGTAAGTACGTATGCAAGTACATAATTCTTTACATGCAGGCGCTATCATTCACACAGTTAGAAGAAAAGGAGTTACATATAGCATCTATGCTCTAATGTTCTATTCACCAGCTATAGAGAGTGAAATGCTGAATATAAATTCTACTAGATTAAAGTAAATTCAATTTTTGGCACCCGAGCTGAAAGGAGCACTGCAGGTGCAGTAGTTGCCACTTGCCACTGATTTGCCACTTGCTAACTTGCCACAAAGTTCCCAGCCTGCCAGAAGCAGCCAGAATCCAGTGTTCCTAGTCTCCCAGTCCCAGATGCAGATCTCACGATCATCTCATGATCTCAGGACTCAGAGTCTCAGACCAGTGCTGCCAGCGCTAGGTTTATAAACTCAGATCTAGGTTTTTTGAGCTTCCAGCTAGGTTTCTAGGTTTTTAATTTACAAACTTATCTAAATCTAAGTTTTTTTGAGAATGATACACTGAAAGCAAAAATCAATCAATAATTATTGTCAAGAAAGTGGATATACTACTTGCTTTCATTTCTAATACATCTTCGTACAGAACTCGTTCAGTTCGCGTGCGTGTCGTTAAAAAATAAGAGGCAGTTCAGTTCACTACCCAGCCCAGTCGAGAGAGCATGCAATTTCAGTTGTATTGTAGCAGTGGGATGCTTTGATTCTTTACGTTGAGTCGCAGGCAAAAACGGATCAATTTTATGGAACTCGTAAAATTTATGATTTACTAATTAGTCGCGACACGAAACATATGCTATGTTTTGTTTAATATGTTCTGAAGAAAGGTAATGCACTCAACTTGGAATGTCAATCTGAACATTTTATGATGCATGCCCTTCTCGCGATGGGATATGCTGAATATAAAAAATATTAAGCTATTTCATAAATGGAGAATGCTTGACAAAATCAAAACTATGTGATGTAGATCCAAGCTATAGGAAACCATTCAAACTTCTTGAAGATATATTTCTTAGTGGTAGTGGTAGAACAATGGCAATGTTGGAGCAAGAGCCCCTAGCGCGCTGGCTATAATGATGACATTCGCGGAAAATTCAGAAAAGACTGTTTGAACTTCACAGTAGCATTGTGGGTACAAATCAAACACAGATTTTCATTTGCTGATAGAAGAATTATTGCACAACTTAACATTTTAAACCCACAAGCTTTGTCTGCAATTATTCACTTTTTCCATTGCAACATTAGCGGCACAGTTCAAAAATCTGGAGCCTAAAGATAAATTAAATGATCTTGACGATGAATACCGAAGCTTCAATGTAACCAAGGACTTACACCTCACAGAGAACAGCAGAACTGTCAGCATTCCGGAATTTTGGCATAGCCTTAGAACCGTAAAAGATAGTCTTGGCCAACCCAAATTTGAAATTTAATCAAAATTTATTATAAATATGTCAGTTCTTCTGCATTCATCAGCCTGCGTCGAGAGAATTTTCTCTCAAGTTAATAACGTGAAGACCTCAAATAACAAACAAATAACGTGGACGAAACGTGGTCAGTTACAGGAGCCATTTACAGGAGATATGAAAGTAAATTAGTGTATGCAAGACATGCTGATAAAGCTGTTGTTTACGCGGGGGATTAGGATGAATGATAATTGTAATATGTTAAATAACTGTTCAAAAAATTGAAAATATGTTAAATTGTCATTTATGCTTATCCCTA